ACCACGTCACATCAAGATATCCCAATTTTTTTACTCGAGAGGAGTGATAATTCAAACAATTTTTTTCTATCTGCCTAATAATATTCCCTCAGCTACAACCCCCATCATCATGCCAAAATATCTCCAGAACCTTTGTGTCTTGATACATAATTAATTTAAGCCTAAGGTAGCCTACCTAGGCTAGGCCAATGACCTAAGCTAATAGTAAGTAGCAGTATAACCTAGTAGTAGGCCTGCTGGGACTGAAGAGTATAGGGCTAGCCTAGGCCTACTGCCGCAATCCTAGGCCGGCTAGGCCCCAGAGAGTAGAAAAGATCGCTCTCTGCTGTTAGTGAAGAGTTAGGTAGGCCTGGGTATGTGATACGCTTCGACGAATTGCCAAGAAGAGGCAGCTTAGGCTTAGCTAGGTAAGTCGATCATAATAAAGACATACAGTATTATTTTACTGGTTCTATGACTAGGTATATTGAATAATCAGTACTTACGTTTGTCTTCTGCTGTCGAGTAATGTAGGTTCCTAAATAGAACAAAATTGAAATACGACCTACTAAAACAAAGTAAGTCTATCGCGAATACGAAGTGTATAAATTGAAAAGTCCAAGAAGCAAGCTTCTGTTTACTAAGGAATGTTCCATTGTTTGGATGTGATTTTAAATTCAAAACACTATTTATCCTTTAGACACTTTCATTATTACAATACTAAAACAAAACTAAAATATATATTATATTTTACAAATTAATATTACGTACTAATTTAAAACCTTTAACGCTATATATCTTCAATTTACTTCAAATATATCGTTCTGCACCCCTATGATGATAATACTATGGTCCAAGTGATGACTTGGTCCTTTCACGCATTCCAAACATTCCTAATTTTCAGGGGATCGACTTAATTTATTTTATTTGGCTTCTACAATAAAAATCAAATAAATCAATGCGCAATTAATAATTAATGTTGAAAGCTTTTTAGAAATTTAACAATTATGGATTCAGCACACACAAATGTATCAATGTACAGTTTATAGTGATACAGTGAATATATTGTACAGTGTATAATATTTAGGTACCATTTCACTTTTCAGTGCTGTTTTGAATGTTTTCACTAAAATTTTAAAAAGTGTGATTGTTAACATTGTAATTTAAGATATTCATTTTAACCTACCATTTTATCTATTCCAACATTTTGTAGTATATGTAAATTATATTTATTATATTATTATTTTATTATATTAGATTAATTATATTATAGTTAACAATGTTTATTGGTGTTATCTTGTCATAGAGCTATATATACTATAAACAATTAGTCATTGTGAAAGTTAAATACAAAATATACAGGATGCATACCACATGTTGAATCTTCAATGGGTATGCATTGACATTTTTTTTTTCTGTTTCCTGATTTATGCTCCAGGCAATAGTTCCATTGGAAGAAGGAAGTAAAGCTGACAGACTGCCTGCTGTGACAGGATACTATACTATCAAAACAACTTCAAATCTCCATTCATTATCCCCATTATTATTCATGGTAACTGAATACTTGACTGAGTGCAAGTGGACCAAAGCCCCAAGCAGATGAGCGTATAGGAATTTAATTTAATTTGATTTACTTTTTATTTTTTTTAAATAAAAATAAGATGCTAGATGCTCATACAAGGCACCTAAAGTCAATGGTGGTGCCCTTGAAAATTGGACCTCTCTAGAGGACACCCCGGGGATACTGCTTTTGTCCCCGAGGGGAGAAGCCCCAAGCTGAGAAGTAATAGGAATTTTTTTTTTGTAAAAATGCTGTATGCTCATACAGTAGGCCTACATCTTCACCTAAGAAAGTAAATAATGCCTTTCGAAATGGGGATCGAAACCCCATGGGCACTATTTTTGTCCCGAAGTTGTCCCATTATTGGGTTTTACTCTACAGTACTATCATTCGGTTTATCACCCTCACAAATATCATCATTATCATCACTTTCATTAGGGTATAAAAGAAAATATTTTTCACTACTGGTGGAACAATATGGTATATTATAAATGAATCACATATGTTACAAAACAATTTACGAGTTAATCTAATTCTATAATAAATATAACATAAAGGTCTCATTCCAATTAAAGACCATTTTTGGGGCTGGGGTTTAATGGTCTTTAGCAGCTTTGTTCTCTCATTAGAATAATAAAGATAAAAGAAATTTGTTAACTTAGGACCACAGAATAGTGGTCTTCAAATAGAGGTGGTCCTTAATCAGAGGGGTCTTTCTTTGGAGGGAAACCTGTAATTACAATAATATAAGCGAATGGAAGGCCATCACAGCATATTGTATGCGCTGCATCCTTAAAATCTCTTATTTTTCTGGAATGGAAGTACAATTGTATATTCTGGTATTCACAAATATTTGCCTAGTTACCCACTGTCTATTGACAATACAGCTTGATAAAGCAGATGCGAGTCAGAGTTTTGATTGTACAAGCCAGTCAGCGGTGATATACAAACTGCCAAAACTCATTAAACATATTGCTTAGGCCCACCATAATTGTTGTTAAACATTGCATGGGCGTATTTCATATCAATTAACATATTTTCTCGCCACATCATAGAATGTATCAGTGGTAATATCAAGTTGGGAGAAAAATTTTTATACGATACTTTTTTTTCAACAACTTTTTTGTTTTGATTTGTTGTGGAAATTTAGAATGTCTTTACAGCCTTGTTGAAGACACCATTGAGGCATTGAGGTGAACAAACGTTCAGTGGCGGCTCTAGGATATATTTTCTGGGGAGGCTAAGCTGTCCGACATAGGGACTTGAGCTCATAGGCTCGAGCTGGGAGAAGGGTTAAGTTTAGGTTTAGGTTTCGTTCCCCCTCCCAAATGAAATTTTTTTAAGAATAGGAACCTCTGAATGGACGGACATCGCACTCTGAAACTGTGACAGACATGTGTTGGGTTTGTGTGGTCGTTTATATTTTTTATGGTCAGACTGCCCAACAGGGGGCTTGACCTGTCCGGTGGGGGAGGGGAGGCCCCCCCCCCAGCTGGTGCCACCACTGCAAGTGTTACGGGGGAGTTGTTATAGCATATAACAACTCCCTGGTATTACCATGATTAAACTTTCAGGAAACCTGGGGCCATAGCTTTACTCAATAACAGCAATTAACTTTTTAAATATATTAATTATTACCTTTTCCTTTAATTTACTACCAATTTGGTAGGTCTACCAATTTATTTATTCTTTCTTTATACTGTCGGCACTTTCAGTACTATTGCACTGATATTCGAAGTGGTACAGTTTAAACATAACAAAAATATATACAATATATACAATTTATAGAATTGATTAACAATAATTAAAAAGCTTCAACATACAAAAACCGTCAAATCACATTTAATATAAGCTGCAGCCCAGCTGCAACTGTTGAAGCAACCTTAATCGAAACGTCGAGACATTCTCGACCAACAACAGTTCTACAAATCCCCATCCATCATAACAATATTATCTATCTCTGCCCTAGGTATATTAGTGATCTGTGACCTCATTTCTGATGACTTCTTCCCATACTGAAGAGCCAGCAAAGAGGTACTTGTACTAGAGTATCCTTTTACCTTTTGAATTTCATCATCAGCATAATCAAAAAACAAACCTTGATAACAATAAATAGTGAACTCATTACAGATGTCATTCAAATTCTCCAAATGATGAAAATGACACCAAAATAGTCCAACAGAGTAAATATGATCCAAAGTTAAGATTAATATACTGTTATTTAAGAGTAGTTAAACCTAGCTTAAGGTAGTTAGGGACGTCCTGGGTACGACATTAAACTCCATCCGGTTGAAGCGTCGGCGACTAAACTGACAATCCTCTCAGATATGTTTATTACTTGTTACTCAAAATTTATACTAAGTACAAAATAAATTACAAAAAATGATATATCCAAAGACCCTATAGACTGTAAGCCCATGGGCTAAATCTCGAGATGAATCCCATCTTGAATTGAAGCCCCCTCTTTAGTTTGCAGTATTAGCCTTCGAAAAGGAGACTATGAGCTTCTTTTCAAGATAGCATAGGCTTCTTTTTGAGATAGTACAGTACATATACTGTACATGAATTTAAAAAAACAAAATAAATTGAAAACAAGCATGGTTTATATAGTAGTTTTGGTGATTTAATGCCAGTTAAATAAATCCACGACACAGATTGATGTTTCAGTGTCCGTATTTATTGTTTCATAGTACAAATTCACAAAATTTACAGCATTCATTTTGAAAAGAACCCCTCTTTACTTTGCAAATTATCCTAGAAAAAAAGCCCATCCAAAGTTTCCCCCCCCCCCCACACAAAAAAAAAAAAGAAGCCCAGGGCTTGAATTCAAGATTTGACAGTATGTATAAGATATGTTACATACTGTATCATAAAAAAAAAGTTTTTTTTTATCGATTGCAGTATAAACCTTTTCTAAATCTTATATAAATATATTTTAAAGTTTTAGAAAAGGTCTTTATTTATCCATTGAAGTATAAATTTTATGACTTTATATCAAAGACTTGGTTGGTAAAACAATTGAATTGTCAAGGAGTAGTAAAATTACATTATTCAATACCTTTATTTACCTCAAATCCAGCCACAAACATTAATATTTTTCGTTATAATTGCCTACGATCTAAGTTTCATCCTCATACGCCATATAGTTAATGGATATCGGCTATATGTAAGCTTTCATTCAGTTATTATGGTAATGGTAATATATTGTAAAGCGGATAGATAATACAAGATCATCTCTATGCGCAGAGAAACCAGACCAAGTGCACAAAAGAAAAAAAAAAGAAAGAAAGAAAAGAGTCACACAGTCTCTCGCACAGTAGTTGGTTTCAAAGCTTGGTCGCAGAAAAAAAAAGAGGAACAATTATCACCTCAAGTTTTAAGGTGACCAATATGACAGTTAAAGAATGGCAGATGTTGATGAGGTAGCCCATTATTAATTTATTAAACAATTAATATTTACCACTTCCGCATGTACTGTAGGTAGACGATTGATCTTCGTGATAGAGCCAGGTTTCAAACATTGCATCAATCTGATTGGAGGAAATATATATAGATAAGCCAATTTAGAATTGAAATAATTATCCAATAGAAGTTTTGTAAATTCAACAATTTCTCAAACTAAAATTTCTGTGAGATATTTTTGCAGATATTTATAAATGGATTGAAATTCAATGATTTTATGCACTAACAAGAAAAACAGTTTTATTAAAGTTTAAATAACAAATATGCTTTGAACAATAACATTAAAATTAATAGGACTATAGATTTTTGATAGACAGACAAATGAAATTTCAGTAAACTATAATTTATATAAAAAGAAGTACTAGTAATAAAAAAATGGAAAACTATATAATCAGTTTAAAAAAAAAAAGAAAGAAAATTTTATAGTTTAAAACGCTTAAAGCCGGCCTGGACTATCAAATTATATTTGACAAAATGCGACATGCCTTGCTAAATATGGTCTGACCATATATGGGAACATCATATCTATATATGGGCATACAACATGTTTTGTCAAAGAAACTTTGATAGTGTAGACAGAGCTTCACGCTATATAATATTTAAAAATGTTTTACTTACTCACAAAGCAGCTCACCATTTCGTAAAGAACGTCCGAAGGTTTCATATCGGAACTTTTTGCAAGTAACAGTCTAAATATCAATGAAAAAACGTATATTGTTAACAATGGTAATGACTACGTATGTAGATTAATTTAATAGGAAGCTTTTGATTAGCGCGACAAGGATACGCTAGAACAGACTCACTCATCCGTGACCGTCCTATGTTCTCGGCACAATGTAGATTCAGGCCAAACTACGTTCTAGAATCCTAGGGACAACAAGGACTCTGCTTTCTCGCATGTGCAGATGATTTCTTAGTGACGTTAATAGACACGACTATTTTTATACCTTGTTTAGCAAACCCGCCGCCAATATTAATGATTTTGAATAAAAATAAAAATTTTATTTTTGGGCAATTAGCGCACCCACTGTCATGAAAGAATTAGGAATTTCTTTAATTTTATTACGTCCGCCGGTGCCTTGAAATTTCCCAAAATAAGATGTGTATATGTCTTCTTAATTATGTAAATTTCAAGCATTTAACCATCCCATTACTACACCCCTACATTCAATAATAAAATTTTATTTTTATTTTCTCCTCCATCTGAATGGTTTAACGTTTTGGCAAAGCCATTAGCTAAATAACAAAACAAAATTTTATTTTTTTTCTCCCTCCTCTGACGATCTTTAAAAAAGCAAGTTGGCAAATCAAGGTATAAAAAAAGTGTTGCCTTATGTTCCAGGTCCTACCGCCATCCTGCAATTGAAAACTTCCTATTTTAAAATGTAGGTGGGAAATGAGCAGAAGTTTATAAAATTGTTTTTGTTCTAAGACACATCAAAAATGTGTACATGATGTCATTCCACATACTTTGAATAATAAACAGTATAAATATATAACCTCTATGTCAACGCAATGTACGTTTTCTAAAATATTTTTCAAAGTAGCTTGAGCTATGTTATCTACCATGAAATGCATATTTTCACCCTCGATTTACAACATTACGCAAAGTAGACAAAATAAAAATGCACTGTCCTCCGCAGTGTCGGGTAACTGTGTAACTGTAGCCATAGTTTGAATCTGGTTTTTACGTTTTTTTCTTTTACTTCATAATTATCTTTAGTATGATTTTATTTTTTTTGTACTTTTTTTTCATAAAAAACATAAATTAGGAAAAGCCCTACATTCTGTTTTGCAAACAGACATATTAATTCTAGAAATCTTTATTCCCCTCATCTCATTGAGTTTTCAAACTCTAGGTGGCGGCATTTCAAAATACCTTTAATTCAGAGTTAAATGATTTGCTAAGAAAAATACTTGATAATAATCATAGGAACCACAATTACCTGCTACCTTCTACAGCTGAAGAAGGTCTTTGTACTTTTTTTTCATAAAAAACATAAATTAGGAAAAGCCCTACATTCTGTTTTGCAAACAGACATATTAATTCTAGAAATCTTTATTCCTCTCATCTCATTGAGTTTTCAAAATCTAGGTGGCAGCATTTCAAAATGACTTTAATTCAGAGCTAAATGATTAAGAAAAATACTTGATAATAATCATAGGAACCACAATTACCTGCTACCTTCTACAGCTGAAGAAGGTCTATAGCAAGTGTTATAAAAAATTCAGTTTTGTTCAATAAATATATGTATCAAATTATGTTAAAGTGTCCAGACTGCAATCGATTTTCTATACTTTAATTAGTATAAATGCTCCAAATAAAGTAAAGACTCGTCATCGTGATTCAATATTTCGATCTTTTATTAGATCATCATCAGCAATAAACAAAATGTTTACATTGCAAACAGATATTCTAGAAGAGTTACAAAATTCACCAATGCAAAAGGTCAATATAATAATATAGCCAAAAGGATTCTTAATTTAGTGTTAAGTAATAAATACCAATAACAAACTGAAAAAATTACGCTGTTAAGGCTACTAATGTAACTTTTGACTATGTTAAATCTTATGATACATTTTATTATATTCTTGACATGCATGATTTACCAAATATCAATGATGATTGTAAACCATGTAATTCGTTAGGGTTGATGTTTAATAGCACTAGGATTATTGACAGTTCTAGTAACTGGTCGCATTTATTGCTTAAAGAGGCTTTCGCTATTAGACGGTTCAACCCATTACTTAAGTAAGGTAAACTTTATTCCATAATAAAACAAAACAAAATGTGCATTTCAGATTCAAGAACAATGGACTGAAAGCATCCAAAAGAACTATCAGTGTTTACTTAGTTCACACTTTCAGTACTGTTTCATCATGTCCTTAAGTTTGTTTACTGGTACTTTTTAACTTAATCACCAACACTAAATTAAAAACCCTACTGGCTATATTATGTTGACTGTTTTCATTGGTTAATTTTCTGTAACATTTCCGGGATTGGATTTACTTGGTGTAAACACCAAGGATAGCCCACGAAAGACTAGGAGAAGACTTACTTTCAGTTGGGTCCTTCTGTGGTGATTGGGCCGTACACCGGGAGACAACTGTTTTTTAATCTTGCTCATTCATTTACATCTTTAATTGTAATTTAATTTTAATTCTTATATTAAGTTTTTTATTTAATGATTTTAAATTAATTCTTATGTAAATTTTGAATTGAGAGGTTGTTATTTATTTTACTGTAAATTAATTGGTTTCATACTCTCTTTTTTTTTGTTTTACTATATGTATTGAGGGTCCCTAATGATCAGCTTAGGCTGGATGGACCACCCTCATTAAAGATTGTTGAAATAAAATAAATAAATAAAATAAAAAACCCTACTGGCTATATTATGTTGACTGTTTTCATTGGTTAATTTTCTGCAACACTTCTAGGACTGGATTGTACATCATATACTACTTCTTTTGTCTGTCTCCGTTTTTGTTTCTATGTGATATTTTAGGACCACGTTGGAAACAAGTTCTTCTGAACTTTCAAGGGTTATCCTGGCATTAATATCTGTTTTTGTTTGTTAATATCAATTTTTTAAAGTGGTATACGATGTTCAAGGTAACTCAAATTTATTTTTGATAAATGAATATTTTTATAACTTCTTGTTTGTTTACTGAATTTGTGGTTTTCATTATTATTTTAATGACATTTTTCACTATTGTATTCTTGTATTTTGATATATGTTTGTACTTCTGTATATTTTAATGTAATGCTGAATGAAATGAAAAGATATGCCAAATACCTAGCATACCACGCAGTTTACCCGACGGTCTGCCACATGATTGTAATAGGATTTTAACTGTACACATACATGAATATATCAATACAGAAATCAATACCATGGTCAACTGCACAAAAATGCTGCCCCCTATTGTGTCATATAGGACAGTAACTGGAAAAACCCAACATTGTTGGGAGAGATATTAGAAACACTGCTACGGCACTTTGCCAGCAATAAACAAGGAATTGAAAGGTAATAAGAATTCAATAATTAGTGTTATTATATAATTTGTATCTATAATATCAAGAGGACTATTATAGATAATGATAAAGTAAATAATTATAGTCAAAATTTCAAAAAAAAAATTAATCAAAACAATTTTTCATTCTATCAGAGCTCTGTACATACACACATACTGACAGGTATTAAAATCCCAGAATCTAAAAATAAACAGACAAGGAAACAGAGTAGGCCTACTGGTAATGCACTTGTCAATTGTAGTCCCCACTCCCCCGGACCTGGGCCTAGTGGGGACGTACCCGGGGATGTAATTTCCAAAACGGTTACATGTATGTGAAAGTCCCGGCCATACCTCCCAGCAATGCAGGGTTTTAATGTATATCCCCGGCTAAGTCCCCACCACATACCACCGTAGTCCTGGTAAAATGGCCTACATTCTAGAAGAGTTTCAGAATGTATAGTTTAATTTGTTAGGTTACATGGCTGTATATAATGGTAGTTCAACTGATTTTGGTAGAAAATAAAAAAAACAATATTGGGTATTTAAGAGTTAAAACGTCTCAGAATAGCTAAAATAACCCCAAAATGCCCTGTTTTCCTGGCACAGTACGGCATAGCCTCCTTAAATCAGCGCATTCGTGTTCGAACCTACCAGGTACCCACATGTACTCCTGGGTGGAGAGAGGCAACTGTAGATAAAGTGCCTTGCCCAAGGACACATGTGGTTAGCACTGCGAGAGTTTCGAATCCCCCGACCTTGAGGATGGGAATCCAAGCCACACAGAGCCCAGTGAAATTATATTAATTAAAATTATTAATCATTTACAGGGTTACCAAGATGGCGACAAGTTAATCAGTTTTTGGAAGATATTGATTAGAAAGTCCTAACTTTATTAATTCTACTCCCACAGTTATCCAAACATTATGAGGGCATACTTCTACAGGGCCAAAATGCTGAGTACCACTAGGAGCTCTATGATCAACAAAAGCCCCAGTAATATTATATTAACCCTTTAAATTATTACTAATTTACAGAATTATATCAAGATGGC